GGACTGAAGAAATAGGTTCAAGTGGGTAGGTGGTTTGCCCAGACATCTCTGCTTGCTGTCAGATGACACACACCTGGGCTCTGTCATTGCAATCTGTTTGAGGGGACCGCAGCCTCAACCATCACTCTCTTGCCTGTGGGGGGTCTAGTTGGAGAGGCCAGGGGAAGGTGGGGGAAGGTCATGCAAGAGCTGTGCTGGGCAGTATGACAGCTAAGACGCAGGCAGCCAGGATCCAAGGGGCAGGGAGCTCTGAGCTAGGGACGGGTGGGTCGCCCTGAGCCACATGGCTGGTCTTGGCCTCCACCCTTCAGCAGATGTGGTTGGCTCGTGATGTTCCTGCCAAGGGTGTGCCTTTGCCCAACTTCTCACCTCCTGCCAGCTGAGCCCCCAGCCAGGAGCACTTTCTGGGGGTGGTCCCGTTCCCTGCCAGGGCAGATTTGGATCATCTCGTGGACATCTCCATAGACTGAGGAAGGGTGTGGACCATCCGGCCCCAGGCCCACGATGTGGGCAAGGGCTCTCTGTAGTTGTTTGGTGGCTCAGGTATGGAACTGGGAATCGGGGAGGGCCTGGCTCACTCTCAGTATATAATATGTGAGGGAAGAGCTCATTCCCCGGAAGGGCCCATCCCTGAACAATTTTTGTTTGTTGGAGGAAGGTGCCAACAGTCATTAGATGCCTGTGTGTGCCAGGTGCTAACAAGATGCTCTGTATAGGGTATCTTATGTCATCTTCGCTACAGCCCTCTGAAGCTGGCATTGTTATTATCCCATTTTACAGATGAGAAAGCTGAGGTTCAGTGTGTTTAAGTGGCTTACGTAAGGTGGGCACAGCTAATGAGTAGCAGATCCAGATTCAATCTCTGGCTCCCCCAATTCTGACCCCCATGTATTTCTGTGCTACCATGATGAATTCTAAGACCCAGAAAGAGCCAGGGAGCTCCAGAGACAGGTGCCATAGAATGGAAGACCTAGCCAGGACACCTTTCTTTCCTGCAGACTGCCTGGTGTCCCTGGGTCGGGGGTTACCAGCTTTGCCCTCAGCCAAATCTCCAGCCCAAGGGCCCTTCCCAGCACCTGGAAGGTGAAGGAATTTGCCCTTGGTGCTCTCGGAAGTTAGCAGTGGGCAGCGAGCCCGACTTCTGCTGAGGTCTCCCCAGCCTTGGTGAGACTGTGACTAGGCCATTACGTGTGGGCTCCGGAGGACCCAGGCCTGGCGTTCTCAGAGCTGACCATCTGGATTATCCGTGTGCGCGTGCATGTTCCGTTTTGGGTGAACTCAAGTCTCTCATCTGCTTTTGGTTTAGAATTTGAGCCCTCTTTGTTACCCACCCCTGTAGATTTGCACACCACCATTGTCCTCTGTAGAAGATAGGCGCTTGGCCGTCTCAGCCCCAGTAGCTCATGGAAGGAAGCAATGACTTTGATGAAACAAGATAAGCAATAATTTAGAAACTTTCTATCTAAACTCTATGATGTAATTTCCTCTCGTGGCAGATTTATCTCCTCAATTCTGTGCAATTCAGACCAGTACTGGAATGGCTTCCCCCTCCTGTCTACACACCCGCCTGAGTTGGCTGTCAAGGACACGAGTGCCCTGAAGCCGTGAAGAGAGTTTGCCTTAGAAGGCAGGGAGCCAGGTCTGGATTCTGGCCCTGCCTGTCATTGGTAGTGTGACTCTGACCCACTCACTTATCGTCTCTGAGCCTAGGAAACCTCTTGTCTCGAATGAGAATTCAGTAGTGATCCCTGAATTACCTTAAGGTAACGGATGGTGCCACACCAGGGATTTCTAGATGCAATACTCTGGCTTACTTAGCATGCCTCAGATTTGCTGCTTCCCCATCAGCAACAGGCAGTACTTTTTTTTTTTTTAAATTTTTTGTTTTTGTTTTTGTTTTGGAATTGAGAGCCATTAAGGTTAAAGTAGAATTAAGAGACCATCTTCCTTGTCTCATTGTGTCCTTCAGATCACCTCCCCACCTTCCTATCTGTGCACTAACGGCATCAAAAAAAGGGAGGGGAGCATAGCCTGCTAGGAATGGAATCATTTATTTGTAGAGACCGTCCCCCTTCTCCAAGGGCTTGAAGATGGAGGGTCTGACTTGAACCTCCTGGGACTTATGAGAAACTAACAAGGCTCACTGTCCCAATAGCCCAGATGAGGAAGCTCCAGCACCCAGAGAGGTCAGATAGTTCTCAGAAAGTCACACAGCAATTTGAAGGCACTAGAAATCAGGGGTTTTGACTCCCATCCAGTGATTCTCGAACTTTACTATGCACAGGAATCTCTGGGGAATCTTGCAGAAATGCAGATCGGGAGATCTGGAGTCAGACCTGACATTGAGAATTTCTGTTAGGGGCCCCGGTGATGCTGATGCTGCTTGTCTGGGGGCCTTGCATGGAGTAGCTGGGGGCTTGGTGAAGCTAGGAGGCTGGGGTCTTTGCAGCCTGGGCGAGTGGGAGTGAGCCCTCTGTCCTGTGTGAAATCTCCCCTACTTCCTTACTGATCTGTGTGCCCCCAACTTTTCCCCAAATTTTCTTTCTCTTGTGCCGTGAAGGCCTGGGCTGCTGCTGGGGTGCTTCCCTGGCCCAGTTCCTCCTGTCTCGTCCTGCTCTGTGTTTGAAGGAGACGTCACATCTCCCCTGGTTTCTGCGAGGCCCCCGGCTCACAAGCCTGCTCTGGGCTCACAGTCCCCATTCCAGGGAGACTCGAATGCCTGAATTAACTCCCTCTGGAGCACTAAACCGCCCTGAGTGCTAACCCAGTTTGTATTTTTAGAGTGTGCTCCATCAATTACCTCACTCACAGAGCCTCTCTCTCCGCTCATCAGGGAGCGGCAGCAGAGTTCGTCCTCAGGCTTTCCCGAGTTGCCCATCCTGGACCCCATCCCTCACAAAATCAGCCTTTCCCTCTCAGCACTGTATCCTCAGTGTTTGGGATGGAGAGATTATCCACCCCATTTGGTAGATGTGGCGGAAAGGCAGGCCCAGAGCAAGTGACAGGTCAGGCTTGTGCAGTGCAGTGTGACGGTCCCCAGGAGCTGGGCCCCTATGCCCTTTACCTCCCCGCTTGGGCGATGTCATGGAAAAGGACCATTCTCCCAGGTCAAGCAGAGCTGAGGACTCTCTCTGAGCCACTGTTTTGCAAGAGGCTGGTCTGTTTGAAGGGAAGACCCAGGCCACCCTCTGGTGGACTGGTCTTTATAAAGTTCAGCTGGAAAATCCTCATGCCAGAGAAGACAGCCAGGGCCAGTACATTGCCGCCCCCCCCCCCCCCCACCGGGGGAGACCTTTGACTTGGGCCCCAGACATGTCCTGCCAAATGACTGGGTTTGCATTTCAGCCCAGTCTCTCCCACCTGTGACCAAGGCGTTAATGAGCAGCACTGCTGTGAGGCCCGAGAGGGGCAGGCTGGCTGGCCCCCAAGCTGGGCCAGATAGGACAGGGCCTCTCCAGGTCGGGGGTGGGGTGGGGCGCTGCTTCGAAACTCAGGGTGACACGGTCAGTGGCTGGCACTTCTTAACCAAGCTCTGCCTCTGGACCCAAGGCCTGTGGATTGGCAAATTCGTACCTTCTTCCACCAATTAAATGTGAGTGCCAGCTGCGATCAAGGCCCCAGGCGGGCTGCCCAAGGGCCTAGAGCGGGAGGGGAGTGAATGGGACACAGTCTCTTTCTCAAGGACCTTAGACCTCTTCCTGGGAAAGCGTGCCGTATGCATCTGTAAAAGTGAACGCTTTTTTTTTTAAAGGAAGCGTGTGTGTGTGTGTGTGTGTGTGTGTGTGTGTTATGTCTGTGTTTATATGTGTTAGTGTGTGAACATTATGTCCGTGTGACTGTGTGTGTGTGTGTGTGTGTGTGTGTGCGCGCGTGCCTGTGTTTGACTTTGTGTGTCTGTGAGTGTGCTTTAGGCTCTGACTCTGTGAAGCCCACTCTCAGCGGGGAGCACGCAGACAGTCTCAGGGCCCGGCTGCTCTGAAGTGTGGCCCTCACCCCCTGACCCCCTGCACAGTGGATGGGACATGTTCCCTGTGGAATATCTCTGTTTGGCCCTATTTTGTCTGTTCCTTCTGCCCAGAAGACAGGGGGCAGAACTCACAGTGAAGGGAGGGGAAGAAAAAGGAATGATGAACTCCACTTCATTCCGTACGTGTCTGGCCCAGACTGGGTACATGACACACTCAGAAGTGCCTCAGATTTGCTCTAGTGGGGGGGGTGGGGGGTGGCAGCCCTTCCATGTGCTCTGCCCAGAGAGAAACTGAGCAGGAAGTAAAGAGCCTCTGGAGGAGGGGAGGCCCAGCCTGGCCCCTGATGGAGGTTAGAGTGGCTCCTGGAGACGAGGCATCTATGCTCTCTTGCCTTCACTGCTGCAGACTTGGTGAGCCTGAGACCACAAGGAATTGAGATTCAGGATACCCAGCGTCTTGTCCTGATCCTTACTATGTGATTTTGAGAAAGTCACTTGGCCTCTCTGGGCCTTGTTTCCCCACCTGTGAAATGAAGACCCTGGATCATCTCCTCATCTTACAGGAGTTACTAAACTCTGCAGCTGAATGAGTCACTCTACAAAATGCAGTCTGAGCTATTTGGCCCGCAAAGCCTGAGATACTTACTGTTTGGCTCTTTATGGAAAAACTTGCCACCCATGTTATAAGTGCTTTATCAATATGGACTTATTTAATCCTCACAACAGCCCTACGGAGAGGGTATTATTATTATTATTTTTATTTAATTGTTATTGTTATTTTTAAAAATTTACAACCAAATTAGTTAACGTATAGTGAGCAAGTGTTATTACTGTGCCCACTTTATAGATGGGGAAGCTCAAGCCCAAAGATATTAGATACCATGCCTAAGGCCACACAGTTAGGAAGTAGGAGATCGCACATGAACTCTAGCTCTGGCCACCCTTAGTACCCAGAAAGGACCCTGGGGAGGGAGGATGGGCTGAGAAGATTTTGGTGCTGATCTTCAGAGCACTACAATGACCTTGCAAGGCTTTTGTCTGGAGTAGTGGCGTCAATGCTTTGCTTTTCTATAATGCAGATATCCAGGGACCACCCTGCCTCTGGGGATCCTCAATCTCCAAGCTGTGTCTCTTAAGCTCTAGATAGTTCATAGAGGCAACACCTGCATGTCATTAGCTGGGCCCTGCTCACAAGAGCTTCTCCATAAAGACTTCCTAATTTAGATGATTGGTCAGTGTTTGTACAGTCGCCACGTGCTGTGGTCTGTGTCCTAGCTGCCTGCTGTAGATCATAAATGCTTGGAAGGCCTGGGTTGTGTTTTGCACAGTGTGTTGTTCAGGGCAGAATGGCATCTCGTCAGGCCAGAGGATTCTGGGGCCACAGTGCTACCCGAAGGGAGCTGTCAAAATGCCTGCACCTCGAGAGGGTTCGACCAGAGCCGAGAGTTATGTGCAGGGAGGATCAGTGATGTGGCAGGTGCCGTCTGCGCCCCGCCCCACCCCCAGAGCTCTCCATTCCTGTCCTGTGCGGCTGCTCCCAGTTGGTGCCCGCCCTTTCTCCTCACTTCTCAGAGCCACAGTGAGCCCAGAGTCAGCACCTGCAGGAACAAACCCACCCACAGACCCCCAGCATCTGCCCCTTCAAGTGGCACAGCCACAAGGCATGTTCTACACCAGAGATTCTCACAGAACTTTCTGCGATGATGGAAACACTCTACACCTGTGCTGTCCAATATGGTAGCCACTGGCTCTTCAAATGTGGTGAGACTGAGGAACTGAATCTTCAGTTTTAAGTAATTTAAATGTCAGTAGCCAGATGTGGCTGGTGCCTGCCATGTTGAGCGGGGCAATTCTGCTCTTTCCTGAAGGTCCCCAGCAGGGCTGAGCCTGGTTCCGTTGTCATTAGCCATGTCCTCTCTGTTCACCAACCCTGTGTTGAATTCCTCACCTTCCCTACTCCCCAACCGATTCTTCCTTGGAATTGCCATCCAAATAAACTATTCATTCCAGCCATATGAAATTGCCATTTTTTAGGTCAAAAATTGTTGAATGTGATCCAGTTTGCACCGAAACCCCCCAGCTTGGGACTGTTCTCTGGGAGAATCCAACTTCACAAGGTGTTGAGGTTTGTGTTGGTTTGTGTGCATAAGCTATGGGAGGGTGGTTTGAAGTCATTACCTACACAGGCTGGATTTTAATCCCAACTCTGCCTCAAAGTGGTTGTGTGGCCTTGAGGAAGCCACTAACCCTGTCTGTGCCTCAGTGCTCAGTGAGGATAATCCTGCCTGCACTTTGGACCTGTGCCTGTCCTTCTCTGCCCCGTAGGCTGGTTGGAAGGAACAAGGGAGCTATAGTGGGGACTAATCATTAAAAGGGAGCACAGTGAGAACGAAAGATGCCTTTCCAAGATGCACTGCTTCGGCTGCACCCTCTTTCTGGCTGGAGAGATGACTTGCTCATGGCTGATGAAAACCGAACGACGTGCGTGCCTTTGATGCTAAGATGGGCGTCCTGGCTGCCCCAGATGCCCGTGCCCTGAAGCTGTCTTTGCATACTCTGGTTTCTTGGAAGGACGAAGTTAGCCACTAGCATGAGCTTCTGAGCAGGATCACTGGAAAAACTCACCCTGGCTGCTGTTTGATCAGAGCAAGAGCATGATTTAATGAATGGCTGCCGAGGGCCTCACATTTGTTCCCCTTGTCCACAAAAAGGCAGTAAACAGTTTAACTATGTGATGACTGTGAGGCTTCTCCTTTTTAGATTTTTCCTGGAGTGGAACTATTGGAATGGACAGGCTGGGAGCATTGCACTTGTAGGCAGTGTGGATTTTCCTAGTTCCCTCGATCTTCTTGAACTTCCTAGGGATTTGTTCTTTCAGCTCGGATTGGCCTTTTGCAGAAGCTCAGACACCCCCCCCCCCCCCCCCCCCCCCCCCCCCCCCCCCCCCCCCCCCGCCAGAGTATTCATGCCGGAGGGAGGCAGGTCCATCAGGGACCATTCAGGAAAACAAGGCTCATTCTAACAAGTGCGGTAGGAGTTTATATGGGGAACTAGCTACAGAGGTAGTGGAGGAGACCAAAAGCTAAGCATATGATGGGGAGGTGACCCCCAGAACAGCAACAGCAGGAAGCTGCTAGCATCCCAAGAGCTGGGGAAACAGGGAGAGTTGGTTTCCTAGAGCTCAGAATCCAGTAGCATCTGGGGATGTTGGAACTTAGTGGGGCCTGCTGGGTGGAGCAGGATCACAGAGGAAGAGACTCAGGGGACAGCAGGAGACCCAGAGGTGGCAGAACCACTGTGGAGACATCACCCAATGCAGAGAGAGAGAGGGAGAAGTGTCCTGGTGTCTCTTCTTCTTTTTGCAGGAAGCAAAGCCGTCTTCTGCCTATATTCCTATTGGCCAGGTCTACCCGAAGGCAGAGGGCAAGGGAGTGGGGTGGGGGTGGGGGAAGTGCGGTTTGTAAAGGGGGAGTCATGACTGGGTCTGAGGGCAAATGACCAGCATGGGGGCCTAAGAGAGCCTCTAGAAAGCATGGTCTCATCCTGGAGCCTGTGAATGAGCTTCAGGGAGGCCCAGCACCTCTAGGGAATGTAGGCACTATGTTGTCTCCCTGTGTGTACGCCCATTCTCTAGAAAGAGAGCCAGCATCCTTCTTTGGATTCTCTAGTTGCCCTGCACCCACAAAAGATACAGCACAATTGATAATGCACCACCTTTTATTCCTCATGGGAAATGTATGAGTGCAGAGAAATACACTTGACCTCGTGCACTAGGGTTCTTTCTGCTAACTGGCTGTTGTCCTTCAATTGTCCTGGTTGCGTGAGGATGTTGGGAACGTCCCCTGTCTGCTCTCTGCCTCTCCAGAACTAGCTGTGTGTCTCTGCTTGCCAGTCAGCTTTCCTGATCTCAGGAACACAAAACTGCTCCGTCTAGCATGTTAACATGTTCCTGCAGCTGTGGCATCCATGCCATTGATCTAGATCCTGGTCTAGGTGTACCACACAGTGCATGAGGCAGGCAGAGCTGGCACTGGGGACAAAGTCCAGTTCTCCTTCATTCAGTCTCCCTCGTTCAGCAAGCATGGACTTTGCACCTACTATGTTGTGCCAGGCATTTTGCTGACTATGGGGGAGACAGTGCCAATCAAGATAAATGATGACCCTGCTGTCGTGGAAGTAGAGGTGGGATTAGAAAATAAACAAGAGAGCAAAGACACAAACAAGATAATTTCTGACTGTAGTAAGTGCCAGGAAGAAAACAGAACAGGGAAATGGGATAGAGTAATGAAGGTTGAGTATGGCAGCTATTTTTGATGGGGAAGGCCTCTCCTAGGAGGGCATGTTTAAGTAGAGATCTGTGGGATAAGGAGTCAGCTCTGTGAGAGAAAAAACACGGCAGATGGGGACAAGAGCCTGTGCAAAGGCCCTGGGGAGGGAATGAGGAGCCAAAACCAAAAATGTGGCTAAAGTCAAATGAGAGCTCCTGCCCTGACCATCTTTGATTCTTCCTACTAGCCTTGCCATGCCTCCTGCACGCTTTTCTTGCATTATTGGGTGAATGGGTGGCAAAGTGCCCCTTCCTTCACCATGCTCTATTCCAGCAGGGTGCATGGCAGGTGGCTGGTAGCTGGCTTTCTACTCCCCAGAACAGTGGCTGAATGTTTTGGTGTCTCTGAGATGCCAGGAGGATGGCAGATTGTTTCTGTTCAGTCCATCAGTCACACAAAAGCCTGGGGAGCAAAGAGCACAGGCTTAATTTATTTTGTTTATTTTGCAGAGGAAATAGCACTTCCTTGGAGTGAAAGCTCTGAAGACTAGAAGCTGAATGAAGAGGGGGGAGTCTGGATTAAATGAGTGGGCTGACCAGCTCTGACCCACTTTCCACCCCACACAGCCATGATGGAGAGGAAATTGCATTCTGGCTCTCTATGTGCTGGCCCAGGGGCTGGTGACTTCTCTGGCCTGCCCTTTCACAGGGGATGGGGCTTCTGTGCAAGTTGGGCTTCATGGAAGTATTCTTGAAGGTAGCTCATGAGGGGGCGGGAGGGTCACGCTGTGCAGTGGCTTCATGCCCTGCCTGAGTTCATCTTGGACCCTTCAAGCCTGATTGACATTACCCCATCATCTCAGCAGTGAGGGCAGGTATAGACTTAGGCGAAGGTCGCTTGAAATTTTTTAAAATGTTTTTTATTTATTTCTGAGAGAGAGAGAGAGTGTGTGTGAGGGGAGGGTCAGAGAGAGAGGGAGACACAGAATCTGAAACAGTCTCCAGGCTCTGAGCTAGTCGTCAGCACAGAGCCTCACGCAGGGCTCGAACCCATGAACTGTAAGATCATGACCTGAGCCGAAGTCGGCCACTTAACCGACTGAGCCACCCAGGCGCCCCTAGGTGAAGGTCATTTTAATGGTTCTGTGATGTAACTGAATTGGGAGGGAGGAATCACTACTCTTCTGGACTCTAAGGGAATGATCAAAATGAGGCATTCTGTGGAGGCCTGGAGCAGGCTGGTCAGGGAGGGCAGGGGACATTCCAGCTCATCTCTGTGACCTAGTGCTGTGATTTGCATGGGCACAGGGTGTCCATGAAGGGCTTGCTGGACCTTTCATTAACTATGTGGTCCCAGTGGGTTCTTAAGTCTGTTTTAGAGGCCTCAGTTTCCTTACCTCTAAAACGGAGGTGTTGATACGTGTCTGTCCCACCTCTCAAGGTTGGTGTGGGGTTCCAAAGGGATGTAGGGTTTGAAAGCCCTGCCAGACACATAGTAGGTGCTTAGTAAATATAGTTTGTTTAATTGAAAGAAATATGAATAACTGGGAGAGACCAAAGCTGGCATATTATCTGTAACTTTACGACTGTACAGAATGAGCATTGAAACAACAGTGATGGGGGCTCCTGAGTGGCTCCAGGTTATGATCTCATGGTTTGTGAATTCGACCCCCGCATTGGGCTCTGTGCTGATAGCTCAGAGCCTGGAGTCTGCTTTGGATTCTGTGTCTCCCTCTGTCTCTGCCCCTCCCCTGCTCATGCTCTGCCTGTTTCCCTCTCAAAAATAATAAATAAATGTTTAAAAAATGATGATAATAAACCACAGTGACAAAGAGGAAGTTAAGGTGTACTTTTGCAAGGTATCCATGAAGATCCATCATCCCAAGGACCTGGCCAGCTCTATCAAGTACCCTCATTGCAGGAAGAACAGTGCTCTGGACATAATGCAATTGCATGCTCTCATAGGATGGATGACTGTAAATCACAGCCCTGGGGTGTTTGGGCCCATTTATGGACTTCTTGCTCCTCAAGATTGCTTTAGACAGCTATTTTTATGAAGGTCTTAAAAGGGAATAGAGCCCAAGAGTGAGGGAAGACTCTACCCCTGGCATTTTGAGGGTGCTTTACTAATGAAATAATTGCATCATTAATCCCCAAATAAAAAAGGAATGGTGAAGGCATCAGACAAAGAGCACATGTTCATATGCAGTGATCGCTGACAAACTCTGATTTTAGAAGACCCTTATGAAGAGGAATGAAGAGTCATCTGACTCAGGACTGATCAAAAGAGGTTCAGGAGGGCCGAAACACAGACTGGACTAAAGTTAGTAAAAAGAGCTAAAGATAGCCATAGGCCTTTGTAAAATAATAGCCCCAGAGGTAGAACGTGAACGAGATGGAGTAGTATCACTACTCTGGAAAGGTGACACTGTTAGCAGACAGAGAAACAAAATAGAAAAGTGAGCATTCTGTTTTTTTCTCTCGGTCTTCTCCACCTGGAATGAACTCTCTTTGGAATAAAGTATCTTGCAAGGAACAGGAGAGTAATTTTAAAATGAATTTCTAGGATCAAGTGGTTCTATGGCAGGGTCTTGACATGCACTTTGGATGTGATTGCAGAGTTGCATGGCAGACTCTTGATTGATTATTCTTTCCATTATGGATTGTATTTTCCTGCCTCTTTGTGTGCCTGGTAATTTTCGATTGGATGCTAGACAGTAAATTTTACCTTGTTGGGTGCTGCATATTTTACTACTACTATAAATATTCTTGAGCTTTGTTCTGGGAAATGATTAAGTTCCATGGAAACAGTTTGATCCTTTTGGGTCTTGCTTCTCAGCTTTATTCAGTGGGACCAGAGCTGCCTTAATGTAGGGCTAATTTTTCCTCACCATAGAGGCAATACCATTCTGAGTACCTGTATTAGTTTGCGGAGGCTGTCATTATAAAACACCACAGACTGAGTGGCTTACAACAGAAATTTATTTGCTCCCAGTTCTGGAGGCTAGAAGTCTGAAATCAAGGTGTTGGTAGGATTATTTTCTTCTGAAGACTCTGTATTTGGTTTACAGATGGCCGTGTTCCCTCTGTGTCCTCACATAGTCCCTCTGTCTGTATGGTCTGTATCCTAATCTTTTCTTAAAATGACACCAGTCATACTGGATTAGGGTCCCGCCTAAGGACCACATTTTGGTTTAATTACCGCATTAAAGACTCTGTCTCCAAACAGTCATGTTTGGAGTCTCTGGGGGTTAGCATTTCACCAGAGGAATGTTGAGGGGACACAATTCAGTCCACAACCTGGTGCCTCATGAATTTTGAGCTTTTCTGTTCTGGCTGATGGGACATGACCTATTTTCAGCCCCATATGAACTCCAGGCTGTTCTCTATGTCCCTTCAGGATGTTTCTCTCCTCCACCTTGGGCAGCTTCATCACATGCCTGTGCTGATCAATACTTAGCTGAAGACTCAGGAGGCACCTCTGCTGATCTCTGGAATGTTGTCTTGGCAGCGCTCTCCTCTCTGATGGCTTGGTCTGTGAATTCTAGCCACTGTTGCCGCCCTGGATCCCACCCCATCTCCTCAACCCAGTGAGAGTCCTGGGCTCTGCCTCAGTCCCCTTCTCTGTGCTGCGGCCTGGACACGCTCTAGGTGGCTGGCTGGGGCCATCATGGGCTCCTCTCATTTGTCTCGGCCTAACCTCCAATGTCTGCAAACCCTTGTCTCCAAAGTTGCTTCCAATATTTTTGTAGTTGTTTTGAGGAGGGGGTTGTTAAATCTGGTCCCTTCTACTTTTTTGGAGAGTCTTTGAAGAGTGGGGAACACACCTAGTGTTGTGGAACTTCTTGTTCTTGCTAGTATTTCTCAGTGTGTGTTAGAAGATGGATTCTGGAATCTCCATTCCAGTGATGTTGTGGCTTATCCTTGGGAATAATTTTTTTTATTGGATTATTAAGCTGAGTGCTTGTGAGCCCTTAGAGATGCAGGTGGTGGTCACATTGGACTCCATTCATGCTGGAACCACCCATTGTTAAAGAACTGACGTCAACCAATAGGGCTTTCTTCACTGTGACTTAACCTTATTTGGGTCATGTCAGTGAGTTCTTGAT